ACCTTCCTGTAGGGATTGTAAATCACACAAATAAAAATGTTCTCTCCCATAAACTGAGTCATAATTTCCCATCACTTCCCAGAACAAATACTGTCTGCTGTATTTATTAGGTGGGGCCTTCTCAAGGCAGGCACTTGAAGTATGTTTATTTTGAAGTCAGCTGTTCGGTAATCTTAGGCACCTCTGGGAGACTTAACTGAGATAGAGATTTAGGTTGGAGGTCATGGGGTCTTCGATGTTAAGATGGAGCAAAAAGAAGAAAAACTATACTGGTTTTGTGACATTACTCAAGCAGGAAGGAAAAATAAATTGAGGCTTTAAAATGGCTTTAACGTGACCCTAAAATAAATGTTTCAATGGCTCCAGAGAGTGTCCTAGAAACTGGAAAAAGCCTTCAGTACATTTTAGCCCAGGTTGAACCATGTACCTGAAAGCACAGCATTTTGTGGCCTTGAAAAAGTATGCTTCTGTAGAGTCCTGGTTGAAGGTGCCCTAGCTCTGCTGGTGGATATTTAGGTGTGCCCAACTTAATCACTCCACTTTGTGTCCTCTTGGCTGGCTATATGAGTGCTGGTCTCAATCCAAAAGGCTGAATTTTGGCCGTGAAACATTTCCTTTCTATCTGAAATTTCAGACCCTTGATTACAGCTTAAAGCTAATTTTGTTTGAGGAGTCTGAGGAAACATATGGGGGAAACATCTAACACACTTATTTCACTTAGAAGTTGTCCAAAAGTGGTTTTTTTTCAAGTCAGTTCCGTAATATCTGAGGTTTAAGAACCTACAGTCAAAGTATTTATATACCGGGTATCTAAAGGTCTTTATAACTGGCTTCATCAGTCCCAAACACCTAAATAAAAATAAATATATACATATATAAGGTGTCCCCTGTGCTGAAAAATGGCGGCAGGGTGCTTTGAACTAAAGCTTGTTCAATGAGCTTTAGTTCAAAGTGCCCCGCTGCCATTCTTCAGCACAGGGATGCTGATACACATGATGCCCGCGTCTGCTGGAACACATTTCCATGCTCCAGCAGGTTCAATTAATTGAGTCTACTGCAATGTGCTAAATTAATAGCTAGCTTCCTGCATGTGTATAGGAGCCCTTAGTTCCTAATGTTAGCAGTGAACTCAACATTATTTTTACTTTCGAGTGCTAGATAATTACATTGTTAGCTAATTCCCAGGGACAGCGACTAAATTAAAAAGGGAAAAAAAACAAAATTTAACATTCAATAATCATTCTTAAATTGTTAAGGCTCCCTCTAAAATATTTTATCATAAAATGTAATACATTATTTTCAGTATCTCTTTGCATATGTATGTGTGCATGTATATATATGTGTGTATCTATATGTATGCCTGTGTGTTTATATACATATACTCACATGCATACATATATATGCACATGTGTATGTATACATACACATATATATGTGTGTGTGTGTATATATACATATGCACACACATATATAGTATGTGTATGTATATATATACACACACGCACATATGTATATATATACATATATGCATGCATGTATATATATGCATGTATTTATGTATGAATGCATGTTATATATATATATATATATATATATGCATTTATATACGTATACACACACACACACATAGATATATAGATATAGATATATCTATAGATATAGATATAGATATAGATATATATAAAACAACCATTCAGTATTTATTAAACATTTTGTGCTGTTAAAAACAATCAGCAAGAAAGTTCTTGGTGAAAGTATATTGAAGAAACCTTTGCTCTTGCTTCCCCTGTCAACATTTTTCTAAGCTTTTATTTTTATTAGTCAAATGTTTAGAATCCGCAGGAAATCCTAGGATGAGCCATTTCCTTCTCAGCCTACAGCCCTTAGAAAAAAAAAAAGGGCTCAGATCCTTTCAAAGGTTAGGAATCCTTTAAACCATACTTTTCGCAGCTTTTTAAAATTACAGATACACTCAGCTTGGATTTTATGGGCCAAGGACGATGCTAAAATTGAGCTGGGGGTATGGGAAAGTTCGGAGTTTTTGTAGAAAAGCCTGCAGGGAATTTGAGAGTTGTTCAGGAAAATATAAGGGCTGGATCTTACACGGGACTCAAGTACAGATTCAGGGCCTTCACTGATTCCGTGAGGTCCGCCCTGGAAAATGATACAGACCTAATACAAAGTTCATGCAGTTTGGTGGTGGGTTAAATGCTGTGCGTTGAGATACTGTTAATATTTCAGTTATTATTCTTTTATTTTTACTTAAAAAGATGCTGCCAGATCAGATTTAATGTACAAGTGAAGGGACGAGGCGTCCAAATCCTAAGAATAATTGAATCATTTCTATTAATAATAAAGAAAAAAAATCTGGTGGGACTATATTTAAAGCCCAGGTCTTGCAACTATTTATGCATATGAATATTTGAAAGCATTTAATGAGTTCACTGGGATCACTCAGATGCTTAAAGTTAATCATTTGAACCAGGATATGCCTATATTCCTTGGAAGGGTATTCTGGGCTGGATACATTAGCTCATGCTCCATACTTCTGCAACCGTACTGACTTTGGCTCAACTCTACCATCTATACTCCTGTACAGTGTACATGTACAAAAATTAACAAACAATAGGGACATGAAGGTATGAGTTATAGGGAAACAAATGAGCAGGATGTGTGGTCTCCTTTAGGTTTTTTTGCAACACAAATATTACAGAGTTTTGTTCAGTTCATGAAGAACTTCAGCTGAAACTGCCAAGGAACAAAAAATGAAACTGGACAACGTGTTTTGGCCATCCCAGGTCTGAAAAAGTTAACATCTGAAAAAGTAAATGATCTGAAAGTGAAAGTAAAAGTAAATGACCTGAAAAAGTAATTAAATCACAACAACAAAAGGACAAATCAGAGTAAATTAAACAACCACATTAGATTTTTAACACCTGGTTGTAATGAGCAAAGCCAAATCTTTGTAACAGGTACAGACATTTCTTTTCAAAGTACTGTTGCACTTGGTTTCTTCTTCTGGTGATATAGGTCAGTGCTTCCCCCTGGGCAGGGTGCAAACTCCGTGTGCATGACTGGGCACGTCTATACGAGACGTTTACTGTACAGTTGACTAATTATCTGTGCAGTAAATGTCTCAGCTTCTCCACTATTAGATCGGAGTAGATTCATTTACTCCACAGCAGGATAGCACTTGTAAATACAAGTACTATCCTGTTGTTGTGGTCAAAAGAACTCCACAGCAGTGAACATGTAGATATTGTACCAGCTAGCTGGGGACAAGGATGTTTCAGTGCCAGAGCTGTCTGCCGGCTAGCCCCGCACTAAGGCACCCTCATGCCCCAGTCAGCCACCCTGCAGCACATAGAGCCGGGGAGAGGTTGGGGGGAGAGCAGCCCTGGGCTGATAGACTGACCTCCCAGACCTCCCCAGGCTCCACATGCTGCATTCCCAGGTGCATGTGTAGATGTGTGCCCAGCAGCAATAAACTCTGGTGCAAATTGTGCCGGAGTTTATTGCTCTGCATTAATAGGCATGTGATGGGGTCCTCAGCGCTAACCTGATAGGCAGCCCTTTACAACTACTTTGCATAGTGGTGAATAGATGCAGAACGGGCAAAGCAGTTCAGAATCAGGCCCCATTGCCCAAATTCTGCCTTTTGTTCATTTTGACATAAGCCTAATGCTGTAAATTCACTCCATTTACTGTGGGGTAAGCCACAGTCGTGTGACTTAGAGTAATAATTGTAAAGCCAAAACTGGCTCTGCCTAGATCACAACCAGATTGTTTGACAGATAATGCAGAGGGAATTCTGTCCTATCAGCCATGGTCTGAAACTTGTTGAAGGTCATAGTTGTTGATCAAAGCATGATCCCAAATGTGATACTGTTCTCAACCAGGTAATATGAAGGGGAAAAAACAGACACAAGGTTCTTACTGATGTGACCCCATATCTATCTTTTTTTTTTTCAATGAAGAGATCTATTTTACGAATATAATCTCCAGGATTATAAAGCAAAATGATTTCAAGGAAATACTAAATTCCTGTCATCCCAGATTAGGTTCTATTAGGGAAAGGGCTAGTTCATTTCTTTCTGTAGTTTGCATTCATATCTATTTTAAATCTGGTCCTTTTAACCATTCATAGATCTACTCTATGTTAGGAAAACTTTAATTAAGGAAGACTTTAATGGTTTGGAAGGTCAGCTATAGTATCTGGGTGTCCAAAGATCAAAAGCAAGGAATGCTCCTTGTGCTTCTGTTCCTCTGCTAATGCATCCCCTTTGTGTTTCAAGAGCTGGGATGCAAACGCTCAGTGAGTCCTCTGGGACAGCCTAGCAACTTACTACCACCACTCACTTTGCTAAGAAAGGTCATGGGAAGGAGAAAAAATGGAGAAGTGGTTGAAATAGGTTCTTGGAGACTGTTTAAAAGACAGTAGCAAAACGCCTGGTAGCACCAAAGCTTTCTGCTTAATGATGTTTGGATGTTTCTGAATTGTATCTACCCTGAAGTTTCCTACTTCAGTTGGCCTTTGAACAGAATTTTTTCCACTCCACCCCACTCCTGTTTTGGGGGATGGATGGTAATAATACTTCCTTTGTTTTCAGATATTCCCTTTGCTCTCTCTTATAGTAAGGTTGACTGAAGTCTAAAGCAATCTGGTTCAATTTCTTGCTTTGACTTCCCAGCAACTCCACCAAAGTCATAGACATACAAGTGCCTATGTTATTAGTTTGCTAAGGAAAGTAGCATATTGCAAGTCTAAAACAGTTTCCTCTAAAGTTCTTCCCCAGATTGACCCATCTTCCAGTTGGGAAGAGCTGTCATGGCTTCTTCCTGAGCCAGTCTCTTGGTTGGACAATTGAAAGAGTCAAAGGAAAACAAGAGTCATCTGTTGATGAACCTTTGCACTGCTTCCAGATTGCACCCACCATTCACGTTCTGCTTCTATGGTTCTGCATAGACTTACATCACACAATTAAATTTTATTTGTACAGGTGCTGTTTGCTTTGAACCAAACTTTGCTGCAGCATGAAAGTCTACGGGCAGGCAGCTTGCAAGCTCCATACACCACTGAAGATCTCATCAAGCATTATAATTGTGGAGACCTGAATGCTGTCATATTCAACCATGATACTTCTCAGGTAAGTCCATCTCACAGCAGCCAGACTATGAGTTCTCAGTAATTATAACAATGTTAATACTCTGTATTTCGAATCCCTGATTATTCTAGGGCAGATATAGCTAGATGAAACTTAAACCAGCATAAATTGGTAAAACCAGTGCTCTAGAGTTCCAAGCAAAACCCTCAGTCTAAAAAAGCCCTGTACTGTAAGGTGTTTGAAACCCAAGTCCTGCTTCATATCTACATTTCTGAAAGAGCTCCTCTCCCAGGAATGTAGCAAAGCAAATACAACCATTCTCTAATGTTAAAAATCTGGATCTAGTTCCATATTTTTCTCCCAAACATGTCTCTGTTTCTAGCAGATAAAGTGTCTCAGTTGTGCTCAAGAGAGGACCTTTCACCATGGGCTACTGGTGCCACCTTACTTGGGGGGGCACATGCCCCCCCACAGTGACCAATCAACAATCGGGGAGGGGGGGGTTCCCCTGCAACCAATCTCAGGGCGCTCCCAGAAGTGTACTTCATCTGGCATGCCTACTGCTTGGCTGGCATCTGCAGGGGAGGCACCAGCACTCCCCCCTGCCCCCCCTGCCTGCTGCCTAAGCAGGGAGCGTGGCCTGTCAAGGGGTGCACCAGCTCTCTCAGGGGGTGCACATGCACTCCTGTGCACCCCCTTCACATCACCACTGGCCTTTCACTCTAGTCAAATAATTACACGTCCGGCCTATTACGCTTATAGCTTACAGACATGATACGATAGAGAAGGAGCGTTACAGGTTGAAACCTGAGGCAGAGAGGTTTCATGTGACTTGGTAGGGGGAGGTTGTCACATGGAGTTTGTGAAGGACCAAAAAATAGAGCCCTCATCTCACAAACCCCACTCCCCACCCTCTTCACCTTTCCTCCCCTCATCATCTCTCTCTCCATTCCTCCTATTCCTTTTGGTTTCCATGTGTCTCTCATTTGCTTAATGAGAGATTGGGATTTACCCTTGTTTCTTTGTGCACATTGGCTTCAAGGGGATGACTGCAAAGCTCTGCTAGGAATGTGCCCAAACAAAAGCTAATTACAAGCGCTTGTGGGGTCTTTGAACATAATTCCCTTCACTAGAAGAAAAGACTTTGTAATATTTGAGTTTATATTTGAAAAGGAAGCCATCCTTATGTAAATAGGCTACAAGGTAAACAACTTCTCAAATATGTTGTAATCCAATAATATTATGTGTGTCTCATGCAGCCCATTAGTCTCTGTTTATCTTAATTATCCAATACTAATAAAGACTTTCAATGTAGATGAAACCTGCGTTCCAGGCCAGCAGAGAGCTCATGGCAAACTTTGAGAGACTCCTGTGTTATATGCAAATGCTAATTTTCTTCTCCCTGGTTTTATATGTCAATGCTAATTTCATTCTCCCTTTTAACTATGTGGAAGCAGGATTTATGGGCTTTGTCTGTGCTTGCCTCTTTTTGAGACAAACGGACACAGACTCCAATATCAGTGTATAGCCACACCATGGCTGGGACTTACCTAAACCTAGCAGATAGCTGCAAGGCCCCTCTTACACCTTGGTAACACATATCTAACTTATCATGACAATACAATTCCATCGAAATTGCAGCCATCCTTCCAGCAACCATCTATAATATCAAAATCAGAGATCACTGCGTGGCTTCAAGCGAGGACTTCAATGGGAAGCATACACTAAGGAACAGCTCTTTTGTCTTTTTGTCTATCAGAGACATTTTAATCTTGTCAGAGCTTGATTCTCTGATCTTGACTCATAGAAACATAGGACTGGAGGATTATGTCTGTCTAAACCATCCCAGTGAGTACCAATCACTGTCCATGGAAAGACATATATGTGTGTATGTGTATGTATATATGTACATTATATATGTATACTTACATTATATACATATACATGTCTGTGTGGGTATATACATATGTGTATATAAGTATATATATGTGTATGTGTACATATATGTATATGTATCCCATACATACACATGTGCGTACGCATACATATATATACACACACATACATGTATACCCAGGTAATCAGCCTTGCACTAAAATAAATGAGTAATAAACAAATGATGATAAACGGGACCAGCTCAGAGTAAAATTACCCAGGAAAGAATCAGGGCTAAAACTCCACTGGTATAAATTTATTCCTGTTTAGGTTTCATCTTCTTCCCTTCACCCTGGGGCAGCTGAAAGCTAATGGAAGACAGTCTATGACTTTCTCTCCTATGACCTACCATGCAAGATACCCCAGATAATTGCATATCTAGATGCAAATTAAACTGGACCATTGTTTTAGTGCCATTGTTCCTTCACGAAACATCTCATACAGGGAAGTGCTATTCTGCATAGATATATGGGGCAGACCCAGTCACTAACACAACTGATCTAAGAAGTTATTGTGTCACCTATCAGTAATCAAAGAGCTTTTCTTCATGGAGACCTGTGTATTAGTACGCTTCAAAATAAAGTTGTCCAGACAACAGCAATCCTCTACTGAAGTGGTCTTCAGAACATAAGAGCTGGACCTAAGAGCTGGGGAACCAAAGATTTTGGGTAATAATAATGAATATTCTGCACATAAAACAACCTGAAAGACTAGATGTGCTGCCATATTCACCATTTGCATACCCATTTATGATACATAACCTTTGCAGATGGGAGCACTGGAATTCTGAGAAGCTCAAAGATAAATTGGTCAAGGCCACAAAGGAAATATTCAAGTGGATCAAGACTATAACCCAGGCGCCTTGATGCCCTATCACATCTTTTAATCACTACACAACAATATAATCTCCCCAGGAACATATCTGTAGTCCCTGAGCCAATTTATAGCCATTCACACTGATTACGGTGACTCACGGGAACTTTGTGTCAACAAATCACATATGTCTGGAGCGGTCTTGCGTTTCAGACTCATGAACGATAGAGTGTTTTAAAAAACTCTTATGTCTGCGTATTCTGGGATCAAATACTGCATTTAAAAAACATGCCATTAGCATCAAGGGAAGCAAAAAAGATTCCAACCAACCAACAGCACTAGCCAGGATCTCACAGAGTGCACTGTTATAACAGATTAGAGTGCTTACAAGCCATAGAAAATGAAAATACCATACCATTGGTTTTCAATATTGTCAGTGGCAAAATTCCTGCTGTCTTAATTGGCAGCAGAAATGGGTTCAGTATTTCTCTCTTGCATGTTTTTTAAACTGGTTTTGGGTTTCTGCTCTTTCAGAAATGACAAAAAGATGCACTTCCCAGGGCTTTTTTAGTCAGTCTCCCAAGCTTTGGTAGCTCCCAAAGCTTGTGTTATAGCTGGGTGCCTACCTCTGTCATAAAAATACTCTGTGGTTTGGCTAAAGATTTAGATTAGCCTTTAGGAATGATTATGCATATAACGTATCCCCCTAGTTTTCTTGGCTTCAGAGCATATGCATCTAAGCACATTGTTTTATGATGACCCGATAACAGATTGCTTCCATGAAATCAATAGAGTCAGCCAATGTATATGAGCTGTGGATTTAACTCCTAAGTAGCCATCAGGATATTAAATGCTCTAGGAAACTTGCATAGGGGTGCTAGAAGCTGGGTGTGTCTACACGTGCATTAGCGTGTTGCCTAGAAATCCTCAAGTTCTCTGGTGCACCATCAGTAGATACATCCTTCTCCTTGGAAAAGCTGGATTCTTGGTTCTGATATGATATGAGACTATGACAATAGTACACCGAGGTTTGTCAACCTTGTTTGTCTCTATGACCATCAGAGTTGGAGGGCAGACTGTGGTTTAGAGTAGATTTGAAGTATACGGTCAAAGCAATACAGCCAGTTTAGGAATGATTATGCATATAACATATCCCCCTGATTTTCTTGGCTTCAGAGCACATGAACCTAAGCACATTATGCCCTCTAATAGAGGATATTGGAGGGTACCATAGTCTGGGGGCTGGTTTGGCTGGGCTGTGTATGAAAACATCCCCTAGAATATCTTCCATTTCTCTGTCACATCCTACTAAGTGCTATGAGCCCCTTGCATTCCAGATGCTATATTAATCTAACAGAAAGATTATTAAAAAAATCACTTAAAAAAGAAATTTAAAATAAACCAAACCACTCCCACCATTATAGTTCTGCAGCATTCCTCCCTTTTGAAGTCTGGGCACCATTTTTCCAAGTTCGTAAATCTTCATTTAAACTTAATAAAACTTAAAGGGATCAAATTCATCCAGTTAAACTATGGCACAGGAATGGAGTCGGAAATGTATCTCTTATTCCTACACGCTTGTACAACTGCACGATTCTCCTGTGACTCTCAACTGAAAGATTTATGCTGGAGTTTCTGGGCAAACTGTCAAAATGATACTGAAATGAAAATGTCATAAAAGGAAAGAAGGTCCAGGGATATTTTACTCTAGACTTTTCTGAAAGGAAAATGTTCCCTTCCTACTTCATGGAGGAATCATGTAGAAGTAAAGATGCACAGCCCTGGTAGATTAGACCAGCGTCCCACCTGGTCCTTTATCCTGTGTTGCAAAGGCCCAGGATCAGCTGTTCACCTCCCTTTGAGGATCTGGACCTGTGCATGCCAGACACTTAACTAGGGAAATGCCTGAAATCATCTAGTGTAACGTTATAAAATGATCTGTCCCTAGAGGACATTTCTTTTTAATCCCAGGCACATAAGAAATTGCTGTATGGCCCCAAGCCTAGTAGGGGTGGGACTTACTGCTTATATCCTTTGCTCCAAATCTGATATACTTGTGGATGTTATCGCTGTTCATTTAAATGTTCGAAGCCTTTTCTTGAATACTGATAAGTGCTGTCTTGTACAGTGAGCTCTGTGAATGATTAATGCTTTGGGTTGAAAAAAGGGGGAGTTGCTTTGTCAGTCTGAAATTATTGATACTCAGTTATCATTGAATTCTGTTTTTATTACTATTAAGAGAGAGGTTATAGGAGTGTCCAGTTTATGTTCATCACAACTTTCATTACTTTTAC